AACTGCTTCCCTCACAGAGCTGTTGGGGAGACTAAGTGAAGTAACACGAATGCATCTAGAGAGTGCTGGATAGTGCCGGACTTCCTATACATACTCAATAAAATATGTTCCCTGTCCTTTTCTCACTCCACTGTTGATTAAACATTTATAGTAAGGAATCTATAGATCCTAATTACTCCTTACCTCTCTCAAAGCATAGATACTCTGAGTCTTGATTAATTCCAAAAGGAAAATATTACTAGATCAATAAATATATTGGACCTAAACAGATATAAAGGGAAAAACCAAAGAAAAACAACACATTCTACCTAAATTTATGACTACAGCCCTGCTATTGATCTTTCAGAACATCATAAGATCAAAATTTTTCAATATTTAAAGTTAGGAGAAAAGAGCATAGGACCCAGAGATCTCAATTCATTACAGCTTCAAGGAAGACTCCCAAAAGACTCTAACCAATCATGTTATATTAAAAAAAAAAAAAATGTACTTCCAGTGGGGAAGACAGATTTGGACAAAGACAGAGGCAATAAGGATAACACCTCTACAGTAAGTTGCCTTGTTTGTTGAAGACAGGACTTCATTCTTATGTTGAAGTAGCCTAAAAATGCCAGGAGGGGGAAATGAGGGGGAAAGAAAAATATAGCAATTCTGCTGTTAATTCCCTGCACATACATATTTCCTTTAGTTTAATTTTGCTTTGTTTTCCTTTTGGTTCATAACCACAGTATTTACCTTTGATAAGTGTAAAGAAATCAAATCAAACTTTCCTCTTAATTTCCCAACAAGTAAAAACTAAATGTATGTTGGGTATACACATAAACCTAAGTACAATTCAAAGCATAGTGAATTTTTATATCAAGCCCATCTGGTGTTATATTAGGGTGTATCCCATGGAAATGCAACCAAGGGTGACTACCAAACTAAGCTACAGAGGACAATTCAAAAAGCTGGTGAGTCCCATAATACAAATGATATTTTAAAAAGTACAAGAGAGTATCTACTTAACAAGATTATCTGCTATCACTCCACCCTAATAATAACCTTCCTTTACTTCTGTAAGACAGTTTTGTCACTAAAACATGGGTCAGTATTGGACATGGTGGGGACCCTGAGATAATGACATTATAGCGAGATACCAGTTAAGTGATCTAACTAACCCACAAGGTACTATCACAGTTTTATGTCCCAATCCTGACAATTCCATCCTTCTGTTAGGGGTCATAAAAGGCCAACTGATCTCTTCAGACCTCCATTTCTACATAAGAAAAATGGAAATTATAATATACTTCTGCTTCACCAGGCTCTAAAAATGGAAACTTGCTAAGAAAAAAAATGAATGTGAAGCACTCGGAAAAGAATAAACTAGATTCCCTGACCTGATTATTGGTCAGAGTCCTGTAAAACTAGAATTACTACTTCTTCCAATTCCATACATGCCACCTGGCCATCAAACTGACTGGTGAATAGTACTGACTGGAAAGTTGATCCATGTAAAAACTTTTAAAGTAATAGCAACAAAATTTGTGTCACAATGTATCTTCATCCCATTAACTATCTTCAAGGAAAATTTACTCATTGGCATTATAAAAGTAGAAGATAAAGATTCATTATAAATATCTGAACCGGAATTTCTTAAAATAGTAAGCAGCATGTATAGATAGAACAGTTTGAAACCGATACTGCAGCAACAATGCAAGAACTGGAACTGAGCTAACCCAGAAACATAAGGAATCACAAAGTAATCTCTTCCAATGGGCCAAAATACAATATGGATTATTTTTATATTGTTCTGTCTGAGTTCTCTGTCTCAGATTCTTAACTTCCAGAGTCTATTTTTAAAATCACTTAACACTGTGTATTTCCAGTAGCCATCAAGGCATATACTGTCATCCCTGACACCGAAGATTGTCAGCAGACTCAATATGTACACTAACGATCTCGGGCAACACTGCCCATCTTCTTATCAAAGGGATCTTATTCCATAATAAAAAGTCTAAAGTTCTCCAAGAAAATTCATTCTAAAACACAGGAAGTAGTTACTGTAAAATGTTAAGATCGGTATTACCCTTTACTTTTTAAGATTGTACCTTACATGCTAAATTTTAAAACCAAAAGCTGTCAGACATTATAACATTTTTTAGTTTTTCCCCAAGTCACCGATGCTCTTTTCTAAAGCACTGTCAAATAATGATAGCGGCTGTCATTATTTTTTATACAATAGCTGGCAGCAAGTTGTACAGACACACGTCTTAGAATAGTCATCAAATAACCCAAACAAATGACTTGGACCTTGTGGTAAAACTGACCCCTTTCCTAAAACCAAAATAAATGGGCTATCACAGGTTAGTGACACTTTACTGCCAGAATGTTACTTTATTAAAAAAAAAAAATCAAAAGTTTTCTTTTATTTTTTTTTCTAAGCTGTTTTAAAATAACTTTCCCCCTCTTACACATACAGTCTTGCCCTTTCCTTGCTGTTCCTGGAGGCTATCTTATTCTATCATAAAGGTGTTCCCATTTACTTTTGGCTTGAATACTTTCAATCAAAATCGCAATTCTGTTTTTGGACACAACAGCCCTTCAGGAAGTATATTTGAAGATATTAAAAATTTTTTTTCAGAAAATAAATAAGCTATTTTCATTTGATAAAGTTCAACAATGCATTTAAATGGATTTAGGAAAACCAATCATCTCAGACACAAGTGATTTGACAGCGCACCCCCACCCACACACACAAATTCTTCCAAGTTACAGAAAAACATTTGAGTGAACCGATTTTAGGTCTCTTGTTCTAAGTAAGAGACAAGAGTCCCTCTTTACAACTATTTGCTTGAGCAATCTAAAATGCTGATATTCTCCTAGATCTAACAGATCTAACAGAAAGGAAAAATGGGTATCTTCTCCATCTAACACCGAAGTGGGTAACCTAGATACTGTAAAGAGAGGCTACATAAAGGATGCAACAGACAGCTCTGAAGTGAGAGCCAAATATTTCACCTGCAACTCTTCGGAAAAGAACACAAAAACGCATGCAGCTTAGCCAAAAACCGTATCAACATGGAATTGCCACAGGCTAGTAAGTTTGGGGGAAAAACAAAACAAAACAAAACAAAACTCTACCAAACGTAATTTTACTGTTGTTGGTTGGGTGAGAAAAGCTCAAATGTGAAAAGCACAGCTCTTGTTTGTTCAAATTGATCATGCCCACAATCTGCAATGTTTACTTAAAATAAATGGGTGAGCTGCTTTTTGGAAGAGTACTTGCAAAACCAGAATCAAATTCACAAGGAAAGGAGCCAATTAACAAGCATTTTCTTGCTGATATTCTAGTGGTGGCTAGGGGATGATAGCTAAAAGTCGATGATTACTCAAAGTTTCTCAAGTTTCCAAAGCCGATAGCTACATATTAAGCTAAGAGAAATTTTCCTACCTATCTTTACTCTTTAGGAAATGAAACAAAAATTATCAGAGAAATAAAAATCTATTCTAACAAGGAACTAATAACATTAAATGTTAAAATATAAAAATTGGACTGCCTACACTGAAGTAGTAGTATAACTTTTGTCAAATTATAGCCAACTAGCCAAAAAATAAATTAATGCTACAAGATCCATCATATGAGATTAACACTATAATGTAATATACATTCAGTCACTCACTATTAATTTTTCTTTCTATGTGATAAAGGAATTTTAACAACTTCCAGAATAAAATCTCCTAGGAAATACTTCCCATTAATAAAAAGAAAACTTTTATATAAGTAAATTCATATAGTTCAATCAAAACATCAAGTCAATAGCTAGAATCACTTAACATTAATGAACTACAAAATGTATTCAATAATACTTTATATACTTTTGCTTACACTTCAGAAGTCTTTACTATTTACAAAGCTAGTAGCTTTAGAATAAGTTCAAGTTTTGAGAACTATTAAGAGAGAAATTGAAAGAAAATACGTTCTTTCTGGGTAATCAGAATTAACCTGAGAATATGTTCATAGTTTAGCAGCTGATTCAGTTTCCTTTAGTTTTTAAATCTTTGTTTAAAAAAAAGGAAAGAAACTGCCTTTCCTTCACAGATCACCCAAAGAGAAAACTTTTAAATTAGGTTATATTTACATAGAAGTCAGATGCCCTTTCTAGACAAGAATCTAACACATACAAAAGTATAAGGGAAACACAAGATTTCAAATTATGTTTGAAGAGGAGTAACAGACCATTTGCACTTAATAACTAAACATTATAATTAAGAGAAAACCAACCAAAGTCTTAATGAAGTACTTTGTCTTCTGTCACGGACAGATATAAATTGCTCTTTTATTACACAAAAACAATGTTTATTACATCAATGAATGACTCTTTCTCAAAAATAGTAGCCCAAACTTGTCTATTCCTGCAAGTTAAAAAGATCCTTCCTAATTTTCACAGCTCTTCTCCGGACAGTCTAAAACAAAACGCTTTCACTTTGTTAAAGAAATGGATTTAAATCAGGTCCATAAATTTTCAATTACACTTCACTTCCAATGCTTTGGAGGAGAAATTTGCACATAGTTTAAAAAAAAAAAAAAAAAGTAACACTGCAACTCTACCACTGATGGATTAGCTTTCTACCAAGGCAATATAAAATTCTTTTTTTTCTTTTTCCTATGAAGAGTCCTTTGGAAGTGACTTGTTTCTATATTCTTTTATCCAACAACAACAACAAATCTAGTCATAAACCTGGCAAGTCAAAACAATAACCAGCAAAGTCTAACATTTCTTACCTGATACAGGTAAGCACCAGCTCCCAAATGCCACCTTGGGATAGGTCAGACTAGTAAGCAGGCTCATGTTTTATGATACTAGAATGAACAGGAATAAATCTGGGTTGTTCTTTCTTTAGCAAAATCTATGGCAGCAGCTACACCACAATAGGAGAGGACCCCAAAGACCTAACAAATTCAAGTGTGTCGCTAGAGAAATAGGAAAAAAAAAAAAAATCATAAAATGAAGACTTACTGCTTGTCATGTGACCTGGTGAGGCATGCTGTCCATTGGGTGTGCTTGAGGTGAGGTCAATTGCCACATTGGAGTGCTCCCTTTCAGGTGAAAGCTCATTGTCACCTGCTTTCACAAAATAAAATCTTTTGGTCTCTGTTCATGGTCACATAAAATCTAATTACCAACTTTGCTTCATACATGCAGAGGCATGCATAGCCTTGAAATTTTAATGTTCCATATTTTCCCCTTAAAAGAACTATAATTTAGAAATATATAGCAAATGAATGAAATAATGAAAAACCATGACCAGCCCACAAAAAAAAATTACAAAATTTGATTATCACAATAATCTTAACTGTAAAATAAGGGCAATTGGAAGTGTTGATTTCTAAAGTATTTTTCTGTTGAAAAAAACAAGTTTTCTTTTAACATCTGATTTAACCATTAAGCAGAGAGTATTTATAGTGAGCATTTTCCAAAACGCTATCAGAGAGCTGGATGTTTAAAAGAAAAGTTGGCTAAGAAAAAAAAAAAAAAGGTCAGCTTCAGGAGCTTTCACATTATGTGTCAGAAAAATTAGGTTACAGAGTAGTAAATATTCGGTACACGCCATATTAGTAGACATATATGTAACCTGACTTATTCTAAACTGAGAGTAAAGTAAATGAAAAAACTCCAGTGCAAAAGTGTTGATCTGCTAAGCTACTTACTACTGACCAACATACTATCATTAATAGAGAGTTAGGTATATTCCTGTGTTTCCTTCGTTTTGGCTCTATGCTATTATTTTCTCAAATTCATTTAAAGGTGAAATTGTGAACAGACAGAAAATAAGAGTATAGAATTCTTGATGAAAACGTAATTCAGAAATAAAATACAGGTAACAAATGTAATTTTATTACCAATAACAAATTAATGAAAATGAATACTTACACGGTATATAGCCATCAATAGCCTCTGTTTCCATAGTCAAAGTGCAGTGCTGCAATACAAAAGATGATATCCTTAACACAATGATTCCTTTCAGTATCTGCCATTAAATGCTTAACTTATTTGAAGCTCCAAGCGGTTAGCCCATGTTGCTGCTCCTGCAACCTGGGCCCAAGAAACATACTACAGTGTACTGTATGTGCTCATTTGCAAGTCACTGAACTCTTTCTGCAAATGATCTGATTCCTGCTGGAGATAGGATAGGAAAGATAAGTGTGCTGTGAGATGGGCTGTAGCGAGAAAGGAATAACTCTCTTAATCAGAATTTACTTGAAGAAAAAATAGTGAGGGTACGCCTCAAATGTGCCAGCTTTCACTGGGATTTAAGTATTTTGCCATTCACTACTTCCCACAATCACACTGCAGTTTGAGGACTTCCCTGGTATACAGATAGCTCTATTCACAATTGTTGCAAGTTGGTTCATCATGTTCTAATAGGGAGGGGGGAGGACAAACAAACATAAGAAAACAAAACAAAACAAAAATTTAGTGCCCCAGTGTGTCTTGAAAGTCTCTGCAGCAGTCGCCCTATTCCCAGACTTGTATTGACATTTTAGCCTACACGAAGTTCTGTGTAAGCACCTGTTCAATGTAACCTTAATTTCCTGCCACACCAAGGTTGGATACAAACGCCAAACCAAGTTAATACATTCTGATTTTTAAAATTTCATAAACTTTTTGCTCTTAGGAAGGGAATCACTTTTTTAAAGTTTGGGGAATTATTTTCATGCACCAATGACACAAACAAGAACTTAATTCTCAGAAACAAAAGTAAATTGTATGAGATGACACCCCCTAGCTTTGATTTCACATAATGAAAAGATCGATAAGCTAACTGTATTCTTTGAAGGAAAAAGTTTAAAGAATTGACATGTCCTGAGGAGATTTTTACTTATTTTTTTTTCCTTTGGCCCTGGTCCTTTTTGCCTTTAGTTTCAAAACTCTCACTGCACCAGCAGCTAAATTATTCACAATGAGCCATTTCTGTATTGATCGCCAAGTATATTTAGCCCTGGCTCCTGGAATTTCTCCATTACTTACTGGAAAACAGGCAGCTTCACTTCTTGTCTCCAAAACCACTTCCCTTCTCCCTCCCCTCCCCTTCTTCACCACCACCCTCCCCACCCCCCCAAAAAAACTTTTGTTTCTTTCTTTATGGAATAATCAGATCAAATTCCCAACTCAGTCACTACATAGCACTTAAATTTCAACCTGCTGTACTGTTACCAAATTCTTTCAAATTATGATTACATAAGGCTTTCAAGAAAGGCATCCGTAAAGTTTAAAAGGGGGGCAGTTTCTTCGGATATTTTACAAATGAGTTTATCTCTTTAAAAATGTACACATTTAACACACACATATTAAAAAGAAAGAAACGTCAGGAAGAAGCGAAAGAAGTCTGCCCCATCAATGAAATGATTATTAACCCTCAGAGAAGGAAAGAAAGAAAAAGAAAAGGAGAAAGAGAAACGAAATGTACATACAAAAGAAATTGTCCTTTGATTAAAAAAGATTCATCACCATTTCCAGCTCTGTCGGGAGATCTCAGCTTCTTCTAACCCCTCAAAGAGGAGGTGACAATGTCGGGCTGAAGATAAACGGAGAGAGAGAAAAAGAAGTTTTTTGTGTTTCCCCCTTCTCTCTTTCCCTCCCTTGCCCCTCCAAGCCAAGCCCCCTGCAGAGTTCAAGGCGAGGAGGAAGGAAAAGCACTTTACAGGTGGGTCATTCCGAGCCCAAATCCTGCAAACAGATCGGCTGATAAACAAAACCAAGAAATGAGAGAGAAGGAACACCCCCCTCTCCTCCTCCTCCTCCTCCTCCTCCTCCTCCTTCTACCCCTCCCCCTCGTCCCTTTGGGATGGTCTAGTAGGAAAAGTCACTCAGGAATGGCACCACGTACTTTCAGGAAAGAGGAAAAAAAAGGGGGGGGGGGAGAGGTCAGTCAGTGCTACAGCAATGAGATTAACAAGAAGAGAAAAAACTTGATCCACCGGTTCCTTAAGAATCGACCAAAAGCTAAGGCAAGAAAACTGAAAGAAAAGGTGGGGGGGGGGGGGGGAAAAGGGGGAGGGACAGCCGGAAAAAACCAGGGAGGAACCTAGGCCAACTTCACAGGACTGTTTTTCGCCCTTGGAAAAAAAAAAAAAAAAAAAGGAAAAAGAAAGAGAAAGAGAAAAGAAAGAAAAGATAAAAGAAGAAAAAATAAAGAAAAGAAAAATAAATAAATCTTAATTCCATCTCTTTCGCCCATACTAGAACCTGTCAAAGTGATTTAACTGCTGCCTTTTTACATGTGTCATACCAGGTTTTTTGCTTTTTAAAAAATTCCAACAAGGATCTGAATATTACCTTCTACCAGGACAGCTACAATTTATTCCAAGCTACCCAATCTTTCTTGGAATTCAAGTTAAAACAAAGCAAAACAAGTCAAAATCCATGACAGCTACAGAGATGAGAACTGATTAATCGATTAACATCCCCGAAACACATTACGAGGAGGGGAAGATAAATTAAGGTAGAGGACATCATCTTCAACCCGATTCCCTGAGCGTCCTTTACAGAAATCATTATCCTAATCATAACCACAATCCATCCCGCCCAGAGAAAAATATCTACATTATTATTATTACTGGTTAACAGCAACAAGTCATTTGATCACATCACAGTGCAAAACGAGATGCTATATAATTACACTTAACTTTGAAAACACTCCCCCCCTTTGCAAATCAGATACACATATTTATATATAATCTATGAATCAGAAGACAAATAAAACAAGAGCTGTTCTTCACCACGCAAAAGCCAAGCGGAGATTTACCTCAGCAGTGCATGCAGTAAAATAATCCCATCACCCTTTTGTTTGTGTTTACTGTTAGTGTATCCTCTCTCTTTCTTTCTTTCCTGTGCCTAACGTGTGTTTGTGCACTGCAGTTGGTGGTGGAAACTAAGGCAGTGGATCTGTAGCTAAGGGTAATCCTGTTTTTACTTCCTCCATCTTCAGCGAGGAGCAGGGTTAGCCCGGGACAGCTGGTCAAACCCCGAGAAACCGATCCGCCGGAGCCCGAGCACATCTCCCCCGCTGGCCGGGCTCGCGCAGACGCCCGCGGGCGGAGGGCGGGCTGTCGACGGCGGCGGGCGGCGGGCGGCGGGCGGCGGGCGGCGGGCGGCGGGCGGCGGGGCCCGGGGCGCGGGCAGGCGGACGCGCGCGCGCGCGCGTGTGTGCGTGTGTGCGGGACTTGGGCGCCTGAGCCTGTGCGTGTGCGTGTGTGTGTGTGTGTGTGTGTGTGTGTGTGCGCGCGCGCGCGTGCGCGCGGGGTGGCGAGGGCGCGTGTGCGCGTGTCTGCGCTCTGGGCCGCTCGGCGCGCTCGGCAATCGATTACAGGACAAGTGCTGCCCGGCGGCTCCGCGACGCGCGCACTCCCTCGCGCCCACCCGCGCGCCCGGCTGCGTCGTCCCCTGCCCTGCGGCCCCCCAGACGGCGGACCCCGCCCCAAAGGGGGACCAGGTAACCTGCTTCCGAGAGTGCCATGGCGACACCCCACCCGCTCCCCCCAAGTCTTAATAAATCTCACGTTTTCTGCCAGCTGGGAAAGAAGGATTGGAGCGGTAAGGGGAGGTTCATTTCGGCCGCTTGAAGTTTTCTTTAAAACTGGGATTTGTGACGAGGCCGGGCGGAGGGAGCGGGACGATGATCCGGGCGCCCGACGCGGAGCTCAGGCATCGGCGTCCTGGCCGGAGCCGGGGTGTGCGCGTGGACCCACCCACTCGGGCTTCGCAATAAACTATGCGGTACAGTTCAGAAAACGGCACCGGGGAGACCAGGACACGAATCAGGATGAATTGAGGGAATGAATTGAGAAGGAAATTCAGGTCTGAGATGAAGCTCAACTATTTTGAAAGTGCTTTGCAGTGCAAGTTTAAAATTAGAGTGTTGACTTGCTTTTACTCCCCAGGGCTTGTGCCGCATTCACCAAAGTCAAAGGAGCGGGTGAGGGTCCAAAAAGTTGGTCCGGGGGAAGTGTCGCCGTCACTACCAGGTACAGCCCAGCTTTTTTATTTGGGAAAATCGTCTGTGGATCGTCATGAAAAAAAGCAAATGCATATTTCGTCTACAAATAGTAGCATTTAGTATTTAACTTGACCACATTTGCAAAAAGAGGGAATAGAGGCTTCTATAATTAAAGGGAAAAGGAAAATGAAAGGAGCTGAAAATACTGAACTGTGTAGTCTGGGTGGCTTAAGTTTGAAAACACATGAAATTATCAGGACTGCCAAACAGCATTTCTGAGAAACCATATCACAGATTGTGAAGAAAATCAATGCCGAAAGAGTTAGGAGGAGGCTTCGTACTCCTACTCCTTTCAAGAATCCCAAAAATAGTTGCTGAGTTTGGGTTTTGTTTTTTTTTTCACCCCTGCTGTGGAAAGAAAAATGCTACACTGAAAATAAAATCATCAACTATATCTTAAACACTAGTCTGTAGGTCTATAAAATTTTGGACCGTGTCTTTTCTTTGGATTTTGAGGTGGGGAAGGAATTCATTCACCTTAATAAACACCGAATAATGGATACCATGGGACTTGTGTAATAACTATATTTAAGTTGTATAATGAATTACTTAAGAGTTTATTTCATGCATTGTATTTTTTAAAAACTGTACAAATAGGCTCGTTTTTAAATTATGGAAAATGAAAGTTGGTGCCATAGTGCAAACAAGATTAATCAATTTTCATTGGAGAACAAATCATTTGGACTTAGATCAGCAAGAACAACTTTATGACAGTTTTAAGTAAAATTGCAGGTCCTGTGACTTATATATGTTTTTTCTCCCCTGTGAATTATATATTCGTAAGGCAGATTTTTGTGGGTTTTTTTTTAAGCCTAACTATTATGTAAATAGAATTAATTTTCCTGAAGTCATATTTGGAAAAGACTGAAATTAGAATTCCACAAGTCATTCTGATCATCCCAGTAGATAGCAAGGGTTTTAATCTTAAATTATCTTAGAAAATTGGAATGTTCGTTCTATATAAATTACCAATATATAAGGGGAAACTTAACTTCCCTGAATTGCCACAACTCCTTCCTAAAAATTAAGCCTGCGTTTAGGTATCTGCAAAGTAATGGAAGTCCTTGGAGAAGATGAATTAAAACATATTCAAAATTAAGATGAAATATCTGGATATTTTAAGCAGCCTAACTGCTAGTAGAAGAGGGTCCATTGTGAAGTCTTAAGGAACCATCCTCAAATTTCCCAAAGCTACCAAAGCTGGAATAGCCCATACCCTTAGCTGGTTGGAGCTTAATTTAGCTCCCTTGAAAGCCTATCCTTTTCATGAGTTACTTTCATTGGCTCCAGAATCACCAGAGGCACACACTCTCCCTCTAGTGGCTAAGCATTCAGACACTTTACATTTGGTGGCCAAGAATGGGGGATTTAGGCAGGAGTAAATAGCTCCCAAATTTTAGAATGGCAAAGATCATATAACCACTTGTGAGAATTAGACCATTTGGGGAAATTTTTCCCGTTTTTTTAACATCTTGTGTTTCTTTCTCATTTGCAGATCATGGTATGTCCAACTCACCCCAAAGAAGTCAAGGTTATGTTTACATACTAAACCAGGGGTTCTATTTCGTCCTCTGCAGTCGAATAATCCTGGCTCTGAGACTCACAATTGTACATGTAGAAAGGAACCTTTGTATAAACTTTAGTAATTCACTGCGTTCACAGTTTTTCTCTACAGTATTTTTATAGTGGTTAGAGGATGTATTTATTTCCATTCTTTGCTGTAACTACTCCACACACATTTTAAAAGTACGTATATGGTTATACTATGAATAAAAATGTATCACTAGGGAAGTGCAGTACCATATAAATATTCACTTTGGGAGATTAGCGAGGCGGTGGGAGAAAACATACCCTCACCCACCGTTTTTCAAATAGCTGCTTCTTTCTCATTTCTTTTTGTCCCATCCTAACCGGAAACTGTGCCTACCCAGTGCCAACCCTTATCTTAGCTTTTGCACATTTCTTTCATTATACAACTTGTAAATTTTTTTATTTGTTGAGATTGAAAAGAAAATATGTCTCCCCCACTAGAATGTCATCTTTTTAAGAGCAGAGATTATGTCTGTCCTGCTAACAATTTTTTTCTCAGAACTAGCACAGTGTTTGGCACATCAATCCTCAATAAACTTTTACTAAATGGATGAATGTAGAGCTAATCACATATTCACCTAGCTTTGTGTGTTAAACTGTTTTTAAGGGACAAAAAGTATAGGATAACAAAGATATATTCTAATTCCATAAAGATTTTGGTCAAGTCTTGACTCATAAGTAATGTTACAAACATCATTAACAGGTCAACTCTCTGGCTTATGTTCATGTGAAGAATGTGAATACGTTCATAGATAATATAACTTTTATAAATATAAAGAGGAATAGTGGTTAAAATTGCATATCAAATATAATTTTGTGTAAAATGCCTTTATGTTACTGCTCTGTTTCATAAACAAATTATTTCATGTTAATGCCTGATAATTTATAAACTAGGTTCACAAAGAATGCAACAGTTTATTCTGTAATCACTAAATGCAATTAGCAAAAGAAACTTTTTAAAAGGCAGTGTAGCTAAAAGATACATTATGAAGTATTTTGTTTTCTTTTGATGGCATGTTTCATCTGTGTTAGATTTAAAAGCCCTAGTACCCTTTAAAGAAATTTTAATAAAAGTGAATTTGACAAAAATTTGTTCAAGGAATTCATTCCATGTTTTTAACTTTTGATTTTGTTTTTTAGCAGAGGGCAAGAGGGAACATTCTAAACATTGTAATACTTTTCCTAATATCACAGGAGAAATTTTTGGAAATTAATTATATATTAATTATTTTTATTTAGATGGCTTTGTTGTGCAGATATAGAACATAATCACCCAAAGTAGGTTCCCTAAAGTAACTTGAATCTCTGAAAAAGTTAAAATTAACAAGCACACAGCACAGTGTTTTAAAACTTATTGCTTGTTTTATTTTTGTCAGGTGTTGTTCTCTTTGAAGTGGTGTTCTCTTTTAAGCGGGATATGGGACAATGGTCTCATAGTCTCCTGTCGACCTAGACTGCCACTATGAAGAAGCAAGCAAGCCAGAAATAGAACCATAATTTCAAAGAAAACATTTGAAGATACCAAATCCAGTTCATATGTAAGGCATACTAATACCTCCCTGAGTACACTGGTAATCTGGGGTCTGTCTGTGTGGCATATAAGTCCCATATGGTTAGGGTCTTCTCATTGCATCCACACTGAACAGTAGTTTCTTTTAACAATTCTTAAGAATGTCACTTTGCAATTAGAGATAAGGCTCTTGTACAAATACCCATGTCCCTAGAAAAGGTAACTTTATGACTTAAATTCACACTTTGATAGAATAATATCAGATTTCTTCTAGAGAGTATGTTTTGATGTAGAACAGAAGATAAGCTATCTCTATCCCACATGAGAATTATAAATTGTGGGAGTTAAACTTAGACCAAGAGGGTGAGGACTGAAGAAGTTTCTGAATAAAAAATGAAAGAACACACTTTTAAAGATGCCATCAGAATATATCAGAGTTGCTTTAGAATGCAGATGTGTGGGCACCTGGGTGGTTCGGTGGGATAAGCCTCTGCCTTCAGCTCAGGTCATGATCACAGCGTCCTGGGATCAAGCCCCACATCAGGCTCTCTGCTCAGCAGGGAGCCTGCTCCCCGCCCCCGCCCCCCGCCTCTCTGCCTACTTGTGATCTCTGTCTATAATATAAATAAATAAAATCTTTTTTTTTAAAGTGCAGATGTGTTCAGCATTTGAGGAAATGAATTCTGTTAATGCAAAAATCAAGGAACTTTGAGGCGGGTCAAGGGTAGATAGCTGATGCTCAAAAAACAACTCAAAAAGGCATTGAGGAGAACATTCTTCTAAAACACCATAACATTTATGGACACAAAAAAGTGTAATGAGGTTATTGAACTCTCCAATAAAATGTTAGCACAAGAGAAGAAAAAGACTATTCAACTTTGAAGACACAGCTTTTAAATAGAAAGGATAATAATAAGGAGAACACATTGTCTATGAGCATTAATTTAGATACAAAATATTAAATACCCTCTGGGGATAGGAATTTAACTTTGGAATTGGTAAGTGAAATGAGGGCATGTTAGTCTAAAGATCTATAATACCAACAGATTCTGCTAGAGATATCTGTAGTCTAAAGCAGATGATAGGTTACATCTCAAGGGAAAGACTTGGTAGCTTAACCAGTGCCAATAGGAGTGTGATCCTGTTTTATTTTGTTTCTTTTTTTAATCCTGTGAAAAGCTCATGGAATACATGTCCAGTTTTTGTGAAAAGCCTCAACTCATTGTAAACTGAAATTGTTTCACAGTATAGCCGAGTCTAATCACATGGTTAAACAATCCTATGTAGACTGAAGAAAATAGAAGAACACATTACCAACAAGAAAGTGAAGGAAAGAATCCTGGGATTCAATCTCCTCCCTTTTTATGGCCAGATGGTGACAACCTAGGGAATTAAAAGCCACACAGGGATAAAAATGGGGAGCCGTTTCCTGCCTGATAACTCTGAAAGATGGCTGTGGTTTGGAAGAGGGAAATTAATCAAAGAAAGGTCATTTACAGGTAGTAAAGTCAAATGTCACCTCCCCCAATTCTCATGACTTGTGGTTTAGAGAAAGGTTAGCTTAATATAGAGGTTAGTGTGGCATTCTGAACTGTCTCAAGACGTGATATATGAGAATATCACCATCAGTTCCCCTCCCCCAACAGCAATGTTCAGGCTTCAAAAAGATATTTAAAACTTGACGTCATAGTGAATTACTAGACACCTGGGAAAGTCCCACTTAATAGACTAAGGATATTGTCAAAAGTCCTATAAACCGCATTCCAGAAACAGCCTTATTGAAGACTATGTTTTTGAAATATATAGTTTTTTAGAAATCCTTATGCAAAATCTACAGCACTTTAGATTGGTGGTATAACTGACTTTAATGTACTATCATCAGTGGGACAAGCTATATACCATCATTACCATTATAGGCATTTACTTTATGCCAAGCATCATGATAAGCATGTTACATGCATCCTCATTTAACCCCCATATTCAACCTTAAGAGAGAATATTAACCCCAATCTTCACATGAAAAAATTCAAGTGTGGATACATTATTATCTTTTCAGGATAGCATAATGTCAGAGCTGGACTCAGAAACATGTCTTAAATTCTAAAAAGCCCATAATAATAACCATTGTGATGTATTTATCGATCATACAGAACTGTTGCTGCAGTTAACTTGAGCCCTTTGGGTAACTGCTGTCCAATATTGAACCACTTGGTAGAAAACCCAAATGTCCACAATGTTCTTAGAAGTGTATTCAAATGTGGTATCCACATAGAACACTACCAGATCCAACATGACCTATTTGACATCTAACACTTTAACATCAGATATCCATTGGTACCTTCTTCCTTGAGCTCTTCTGAACAAGTGAATGACATGAGAGAACCACTGAGAGTGAATTAAAAGGTAACCACCCCATAAAGAATTGAGTATCAATTAATGGTGACAAAGAGAGATAGACAAGATCTTAACTTTAAATTCTGGATCACCAAGCATATTTGCACTTTTCTTTCAAAGGGATTGCTTCTGGTTCATTGCTCCCAAAAACATAAGCATCACACTCCTTCCTTTTGTAGACTTACTTCACCTATGTGTGCAAAGAATGAATGACTCAATTTGTGTAGTGAACATTGTGATTTTAAATGGTTATGGTATTCTTAAATGACATTTTGAATTCAAGAAACAGATTTTTTTTTTTCTAGTGGAGAGCAACTCTCAGTTTATAGTAAAGGTCAATTTGAACATTTTGCTAGGATCCATAAAACAAAGCCTATGAGATTAGGATTTTTCTCTGTTTTAATTTACAAATTGACTACTGGAATAGAGATATAAAACTATACTGTTTTAATTCAGTTTTTCTATCCCACTTCTCATAGGTAATAGGAGTTACATATTTGTTCTCTCATAGCAGGGTGTTTTTTTTTCCAAAAACAAAAAGAAACAATACCTTTATTTGATAACAGATATACTATTTATGAAGGAAGCTGATTGGTGGCTTTGGGGGAAATTTGTTTCAGGACATTTTGAATGACCTGTCCTAAGGCAGGTTCCCAAAACATCTTGAAATAGCCAAAAAATGAAATGAGCAAGGGGTCTGATAATATATTCTTTTTAAAAAAAAATATTTTATTTATTTGAGAGACAGCTGAGCAGGTGGGGGGTTTTGGGGGGGTCGTTGGGGAGGGACAAAGGGACAGGCAGACTCCTCGCTGGGTGCAGAGCCAGATGGGGGCTCCATTCCAGGTCCTGAGATCGTGACCTGAGCTGAAGGCTGATGCTTAACCAACTGAGCCACCCAGACACACCATTCATAATATATTCTTTCTTTTTTTTAAACTTAATTTAATTTTTTTTTCAGTGTTCCAGTGTTCAGTGTTCCAAAATTCATTGTTTGTGCACCACACCCAGTGCTCCATGCAATACATGCCCTCCACAATACCTGCCACCAGGCTCACTCCACCCCCCCACCCCACCCCTCCAAAACCCTCAATAATTGGACATCTCCTGATACCTATGTTTGAGAATAAGTACCTACAGAAGATTCATTAAATAGTCAAATAGGAATCCCTTCTCTTCATAATCCATTATATCTGAGAGAGGGGTACCCTTCTCTCAAGTCTTTGGGAATATTGCTTTCAGAGTTCATTCTTGATGTGGTGATGGACACTGCAGGCTATAAGCCTAATACCATTAGACAGTCTTTTACACATAGAATGCTTTGGTCAATTCCAAATCCACCATTAGCCACTTGGTGATATTTTCACTTTCCTTGTCATTTTCCTATGTGGAGAGAGTATACTTAACAACTGTTTTCCTTTATGTAAATGATATTTCTAGGTTTCATACAGCCGTGTTTTCTAAGTTTAAATATTTTTAGTTGTCCTAGGTGCACCCATAAACTTGAATTTCTGTAACCCCACATGGCTAAAGGCCAGACCTTGCAGAGTGAAGCTCACTAAGATTATTCCATTTTGCACGTGTACATGAAATAAGCCACCTAAATGGACCATTCAGAGATCTGAGAGGAAAACCGAGGGATCTAAGAAGAAGAAAGAAAGAGAAACAACAACAAATGCTGCCTGTGAGAGCGACAGCAGGAAACAGATCGGAGTCACTGAGGGGAGTGTGAGGACACAAAGAGGCCATGAGCATAGAACAATAATCTCGATGAATTCGGCTATAAAAGGAAAGACAGTGGCTAGAAGCTGGAGGAGAAGGAGGTGGGGTCGAGCGAGGTTTTGTTTTTTAAGAATTGAGCATGCTGATCAGAAAAGGTCAATAACAATTTAGAGATCAGAGATAAAAGGAAATTGGTGAAGGGAGTTCCTGAAGGGACAGGGAAAAAAAAAAAAAAAACTATCGAGAGCACAAGTGAAATAATAATACCTCTTGTGCGAAAGAGAAGCAAGAAAGGATGAGCACTTGTAAAGTCTGTTAGTTGATGTGAGAGGAGGTTGGGGAGGGTTTGAAGAAGGTGTCAGTGTTACTTACTGAGATTGAAGGGGGAAATGGCTGCATTGAACATTTAACAAAAGTGTATAAGCTTGAAATACTTGCTATGAAGAATGTGAGAGA